CTGTCACGGTCTGTGATGGGTATGGAATTTCTCTGTCACGGTCTGTGGGGGGGGAGGGGGGGGGGTCCAAATTTCTACCCCTAAACACTTCAACACTCCTTTCAGATCGTGTTTCACAAAATTGATTTATATTACGATTACATAAATATCTGAATTAAATGATCAATATATCTCAATCGATGTACTTTTGTTAAATAGAATTAATATGAATGAATTGTAGACTATTGTATAAAAGTGATGGATGCTGGGAAAAAACCCAGTGAATTCCGAAAGTCCGCAATGAAATAAAGAACAGGAAAAAAAAATTATTCATTTTTACCATACGAGTAATGCTGCATGGCATTCATCGAAGGCACAACATCATTGTCTTGAGAGAGTAGATGAAAAGATTCTTCCTTTCCTCGATGATTTTTTTTCATACAACTTTTGCTTTGTTGCCTTGTGTTTAGTCTTTTTTCTTTCTACATGTGCCGCTGACGTGGCTAAAATTTAATCGCAGTATTTTTATTTTTATTCAATCAAGGTAATCGATGAAAGGTTAAAAAATAAAAAATATATAAAAGACAAATAGAGTACTTTATATTTTCATCAAATGTAATAAATATCTTATAAAAATAGTCGTACAGCCAAAATTTCTGATAAATCTTTTACGTGCAAAAGAATCACCAAATATAAAAGTAAAAACTAGCTGTTTTTGCTAGTTCTACTGTTTGAATTAGGGTGTGGGTGGGTGTGGCTGCAGGAAAGACCCACACCCATACCCCTCAAGTATATTCATATAAAACAAACTATATTGATTATCATTATTAAATAATCTATTCGAAATATAAAAATAAATTCATTTTTATATCATAAACAAGAAATCTTACATTCAATCAAACAACATATTATTACTAAACACCTTATTTTCTGTATTTTAGTTTATGAAATTAAATTCTTAGTGATGGATTCAGGATTTTTATAATGAAGAGCGATTATAATCATAAAATAAATTTTGGAGATAGTACTATCAGCTCATTATTAAGCCTTTTTTTGCTGGAAAAAAACAGAAAACTTCTTTTTGGAATGGGAGTGATTGCCTCAGCGCCTCGCCACATAAAATAATATCTGACGAGGGAACCTTTCTAAATGTGACTCGACAATCAAACAGATATGGTGCCCATAATTAGGTGTTGTTGAGGCTAGTAGAAGCTTTCAATGATTCGTTCCTATGTGCTATTTCTTTGTACAAAATGAATATAGATAATGTTGCTTTTTATTGTTTTATTTCTACTAACTGATACGTTGTTAGTTTTTTTACTTTTTTTTAGTTGATTTCTAAATGGTTACAAATGACGATCTACAAGATCTAGCTATTTCCCACTATAAAAATGGGTAGAAAGCTCCAGAAACTGCAAAGTTATCGGCAAATAAGTTCATCGAAGTACAAGTGATTGCGGACTAAATCAGTATAAACAAACTGGTTCAATAGGTGTTAAAGCAAAATCTGGAGGACTCTAGCCTCGGACTACAAATTTTCGAAATTATACGACTATATAGGATATCGCTTATCAGAATTATACGATTATTTTCACAAAAAAAAGTGAAAAATTAACCAAAATTTAGGTTTTGTACGTAAAACCGTATCTCAGATATGTATCCTTTACCTCCAAGAAACAGCTATTCATATTTCTTAGTTTTTTCGTAAAAAGTGACGACCGAGAGGGAAGAGATGGAGGTAGCGCCGCGAAGAGCGGGTGTGGGTGTGGGTACGATACAGCAATTGCACGTATAATATATATATATATAAGCGAATGCTGAATTTTTTTCGATTATGACAGTCATCGTATTCAGATTAAAATCTAAAGAGCATCGATATTATTTTATGTAATTATGTGAACCATGGTTTTATTCTATTGTAGAGAAAAGAAATGTCGTCTAAATCCTATGACTCATTTAACAAACATTTATATAAAATGATAAAACTACTACAGTAGAAGAAAAGAAGAAAAAAAAGTATTGCCATATGGGACGGACACACAATAAGCATTTGTTTTTTTTTCTGTGTATATAGGCATCGAGAAAAAAATGAGTACTTCTGACAAATATACCTATGAGGTAATTGACAATGAGAATGATGCACGTATATGCGCTCAATTATTAGCTGAAGAATTTGTTGCGAGTAATTCAATGATTATTTTTGACCAATTAACACCACAATATATCTTTGATGAAGATACATGGCCAACAATGGCTGAAATATTCAACGAACAATTATCATTTCTCGCACGGCATCGCCAATCAGGTGAAATCATCGCTACTATCTGTGTATGTGATCTTTATTTAGCACAAGAAAAACATCCATATGAACCATCGAGTGCTCCATCATTAATTCCATATTTTGATTTATTAGAAGAAATGGATGACATATTTATTCATCAAGATTTTAAACAAGAACTGAAACCAAACATGGTTTTACAGATTGTTATGGGTGCAACTCGAGCAGAACATTCAGGTAAAGGTGTAGCCACTCGACTACGTACAATTTTGTATGAATATGCTCGAAATCTACGAGGATTTCAGTATGGATTAGCACAAACGACTAATGAAGCAACTCGTCATATATGTGTGAATAAAATGGGTGGAAAAGAGTTGACTATCATTGATCCCACAACATGGATATGGAAGAAGAAAAACGATAAATTATGTCCTTATAAAGATTATACGGGTGGACCTATACCAAATATTTTAATTAAATTATGATCAATTAAAAACTATTTATTTGTTTTTATCTAAATAATCTGATAGAAATAAATCTATTCAACAATACGCAAAAGACCACTGTCTCATATAAAGCTACCAAAGAAAAAAGAATCTTTACGAGGAAACACCACGAACTGATCAATCGCTATTTAAATTTTAGTAATGCCAATTTGTAGAGCTTGTTGAGTTATTAACTGATACAATAATCATTCGTGTCAACAATGCGGCTGCGGAATAAATTTCTGATAATCAAAGTCTCCATTAACCTGTCCATACTCTATAGTGGTCCTGTAGAGACCCTATAGGATCACTATAGGGGAGCCTATTAGGGGTGGCACTTTACTTTTACTTTATAAAATAAATGTGAATGAATCCTTTACTCATAAAAAATAAAGATAAATGGATCCTTTATTTTTAAAAAATAAAGATAAATGGATCCTTTATTTTTAAAAAATAAAGATAAATGATCATTTATTTTTAAAAAATAAAGTTAAATAAATAAATGAATAAATGATACTTTTTACGACAATAGATAATGTAATTAGAAAAGCACTGGAATCATGGAACAAATTTGCAGAGAGATTACTACAATTTAAAAATGTAATTTGATTTAAAATACGCTTCCTAAGATGAAATTCAAAAATAACGGAAATGAAAGCTTTACTTCTGTTTTTTTAGGGTTGTAAGAAAGAGGAAAATCTTCTTCTAACATTCTAATGTGAACAAAGGCTTCCATGTATTCAGACATCTTTGTGAAACTTTATTTTAGAGTCATAGAATGTCTCCATTGGATCGATTATCACTCAATCTTTATATTTCTAAATAGAAGTTATTTATTATTTTGAATTTTATTTCTAATTATTTACAACCTTGCCGAATATGCTCTATATACCATTAACCTTAGAAAGCATTAGAAGCAATCGCATAAGTTTTGTATACTTCCTGCCATGTTTGCTTGCTAGTGTGAACTGACAAGTACGTATATATTTATGAGAGTTCAAAGAGGCTATTTAAATTAAGCCTTTTCAATCCCGGAAATTTAGTCAGTCACATAGTTTCACAGTCTAATTCTGATGGCATTAAGTTGGTTAAGGATAAGAATCTAACTTTTGGAACTCGGGAATTGGGATCCACTGTAAATACTGGCGGTGTGAACGTGAGAAGGATGCATGGCATCATGACTCTTTCTATGCATTCGGAAACGAGTGTGAGTATGTAGCTGATGTGAGAGAACGTGGCTGTGCACTTATAGACGTTCACTAGAAGAAACAAGTACGAACTAATTTTTCAAATTCATTCACATACTCATCATAAACGTCAACTGTAGCGCTTCAGTTTCAAAGAAAAAATTTGATACTGCAATTGCAGTAACAATACAAAACGCAAGTCAGATCATTTAGAAGATATGAATGAAAGAACGGAATTGACTAAGCTGAAGTGGCACGGTTGCGATAGTGCTTTTCATGAAATGTAGCATGTTTAGAATAAAAAACGTACAGATGAATATGAGAAAATAAAGCCAGTGCTTTGAAAATCAATAATGTTCAATAATTTTGATAAGGAGATCTAAACTTTAGAGATCTTTTATAAGAAGAAAATGCTCTATGCTCATAATTGTTATCACGCTAATAGAGAATGACCTATTTAACCATCTCAACAGACTCTCACAAGTGGCAACTTCAATATGAAGAAGAAACTATTCAAATATACTACTAATTTTTTTTTCTTGACTTTTGCTTCCTTGCTCCTCATACAAAGTGTGGGCATCTGTTATTTTTTCAAAATCACCTACTTGATAACTTCATTAGAATAAATCTGAACTGCATGATGCAGTGTTTGTTACAAACAACTTTATGTGACTGTCTTGAAATCTGTATGAAAATCTAAATTTTATCTGTATTTGTCTTTTTTACTTTAACTAAAAAATAAAGTGTCAGCGTAGCAGGAGTAAAATCGAGACTCACTCAGAACCATTAATCAATGCCCCAACAAAATTGTATGATTGCTTCTTTTAACAGCAAACTAACAAATGCTTTTCACAGTTTAACTTCCGAGAACAAACTTTCCGTTGTTTGCATTGCAAAAGCTCCAATTAATGATTTTGTTGTATGGGAATTTGCTTTCTGTTTATTAGTTGAACTAAAAAAAATCAGTAACTAACTAGTGATCGTGATAATCTATATGGTAAAAGAAAAAACTTTAAAGAAATATATAAAGAAATAACAAACTTTTTATTGAACACATGAAAAGTAAGGATGTGGGCGGAGTGTGTGATACGATCGTGGTGCTTTCCTACTCTTGGGTTCGAATGCATACTTACACATTCCATTCTGCTCACATTCTTATTTATTATGTATTCATTGAATTTGTATTTCGTTGTTTCTTTATATAATTTACTGAAATTTTATTATTAAAATATGAAAAAATATCCAATTCAGACTGAAGGTAATCAAGGGAAACTAACTTATGCACTAGCTAAAAGAATTAGGGGATCTGGTTAAACATTTCTCTATACAATTTGTTGAGAATAATGCACAATGAAACTGAATTAAGAAAGTTCAAACGGTTATCATAGTATTTATTATGTGGCTTTATGTAACGAGAAAACAAAAATTCCTTTGGTTCGTGGTGTATTTTATTTTATTTTATCGGCATTTTCTTTCAGGATTGCAATGGATCGCATATAAACTATCATTTCTGCTCTTTATATGAGAAGTTGTACCATGGAAGTATTGATAAGATCATAAAAATCGTTCATTATTTTTCTCTCTCTTTTCGCCTCTATCTCACGCATACATCGAGAGAGTCTTCCTTCAGGTACTTTTTTAGTTTTTATCAAAGGCACCTTGAAAAGAAAATGAACAATAGTTAATTTTTCAAACGCATTTGTTTACTATTGTTTCAATCGGCGTGCTATAATAAAAATAACAGAAATCTGTTTTCTCTTAAGCAATGTATATTTTTCTAAATATGAATTTCATACCGCTCTAAAACTTCTTCTACAATTTGCTCAATAGAGAACGTCTTATTCATATTTATTATGCGAACCGTATTGCAGATAGTTTGTTTCCTTTTTTTATGTGGCCATTAGAGTCCTGCGGGAACAACTTTTTTGAGTTCCCGTTCCCGTAAGAAAAATGTTTGTTCCCATTCCCGTAAGAAAAATGTTTGCTCCCGTTCCTGTAAGAAAAATGTTTGTTTCCGATCCCGTTTCCGTAAGGCGTTCAGAAGCCCGAGTGGTATTTCACTTTTTTATATTTTAAAAAACTATCGTTGTCTGATATTAGTTTCTCACAGCATTACGTTTTTCAGAATGTAACACAGGTTATAGTAGGCTACGCCGAAATTGACGTTATTTATTGTCGATACTATCAATCTGCAATTTGTTTTGATTCATATTCTGAAGGTGTAGTTGTTTTCTAATACCATTAGATAAGTTACACGCTGATAAAAGAAATAAAGACTGCATTCACACGATACGTTGGAGATCAGATAAAAGTCGGAAAAGGTGTGAATGTTCCTATATATTGAAACAATAGTAAATAGTTAACTCTATACTGTCTGCAATAGCTCAACGAATGCCATGTATTTCGGCAATTAATATTTTAAAAACACTCTTTTTTGAGCAGTGGATATACAACAAGAAGTCGTCATGCACGTTTGAATAGAAGTAAAATAAATCAGTTATTATTTTGAAATTGATATTTATCAACCTCAAGAGAACTATTTCCACAATCAACTGAGTAATTAAGAAAAAGAATAAATAGTTGCACATTGATGACACCAATGAGAAAAGCAAAAATTTCAAAAGAAAAAGATGATTTTAATGTTTTGTAAGATAACCTTGATAAGCGTGCTTTCGATGATGAATACAAAGAAGCTAATCGTTGTCATAATGTAAGATACAGTAAAAAACGAATGCATTTTCAAAATTTTGTTGATGAATATTTGCTTTTTTTTGGTTATTATATACGAAAATCCTTATTGAAAATAAAAGTTTGTTACACAAACACACTTTAGCGCACATAGAAATAGGACAAGTGGGTTTCCGAGAATGGATATTTTTTTATCGTTCCCGTTCCCGTATTCCCGTATAAAAATCTTCACGGAAATTCCCGTTCCCGATTCTCGTGGGAAACGGGACGGGAATATACAGGAAAAATCCGTCTCTGCAGGACTCTAGTGGCCATTATAGAAAATTAAAATAATCATTTTTTCCATAGATTAAATGTTTAGGAAGATTGATATTTTAATTCAAATATATTTCTGCCAAGCATAATGTTGATAGAACGCTGCTAGGCATTTTTTTTTCTTTTTCTAAAGCGTTATAGTGTTAGTCCAGTGACACTATTCGTCATAAATCAGCTCTTTCTGTTGCTGGCTATGTTCACCACAAACAGCGGTCTTCTTTATCACCAGCTACATTCAGATATCTTATGTTGTTAAAATAATGAAAATTAGCTTTCGTAAGAAAAAAAAGAAAAATAGAATGACTGAAATTTTTTATTGATAGTACATACATTGTTTATAGAACATCTCAATGAAAATTTAACATACAGAGTTCAATACAATATGAACTAGTCTTACAATAGTCCACTATATTTTTTTTTGTCCGAGAAAATTTTCATATTGTTTTCAAATGAAACTACGTTTTTTTCGAAAATGCTTTATGAAAATTCGAGTTCATCCATATGAATAGAAGACAGCAGAAATTAAGATTCGACGATCAAACCGTTTTCATAGATCAGCTTTATATTGGCCAACTTGCGTATTTTCCAGTAAGTAGGACATGATGCACAGGCTAAATTCTTATATCTGTATTTGACTGAAGAGTTTCTTTTCTTAATTAAAGTATTCGATCATTGAGACCATACTCTCATATAATTGATATTCTTCAAAAATTATCTTTCACGAGCTTCTCCCAATGATCTAATACTTTATTTCACAAAAACCTCTTCAACTAAATACGGATATAGAGAGTTAACATGTGCTTCGTGCCA